CACCTTCATAAAAAAAAATATATAACGAACAAGCAGCCCCAAAATAAAACCAACCAAAGATAAAAAGGAAAAATCTTAAAGGAAAAAGAAAAAAAGGAAGAAAAAATCCTTCCAAAATACCTTTCCAACTACAAAACAATACTTTATACCGTTTATTAACAACGTTTGTTCGGAACGAGATGAAGAAGAAAAAAATCGATTGTATAGCGGTGACATAAAAAAAGCGCTCAGATCAAGACAAAACACAAAAGTCTTCAGAGTAGGCCGCCCAATAATGCTGCCTGTTTACAAACAGATGTGTGGCGCATCCCAGGAATCCTGGGCCAGGCTCTGGTCACGTGTGCCACACACGGGTACCCAGGCCAGGTCGTGAGGGTGTCTACTGTCTCAAGGTGTGTGTGTGTGTGTGTCGTCTTCAGAAAGTGTCCGGTGAGATACGAGGGACGTGTGACGTGTGGCATCTGTCACTATCTCTGTCTACATATCGTCTCTCTGTCTCTGTCAAAATCGTCTCTCTCTCCTTCTCCCTCTCCTTCTCTCTCTCTCTCTCTCTCTCTCTCTCTCTCTCTCTCTCTCTCTCTCTCTGCTGTCCTGACACTTTGAAGAAGTATACTCGAGTATTTCTAGACACTTTGCAAAAATACATTTATTCCTAAGTTACCCTTCTTGACATTCATAGCCAGATCAGAGACAGAGACGGAGACATAGACAGACGACACAGCAAAGCGTTTGATAAGAACCTGATATTGCGAATCGGTGTTCAATTTCTGAAAACAACAAGAATGACAAACAAACAAAATATTTGACATTTTGGGGGAACAAACATCTGCTCAAAAATTATCAAACGTTTCTGCTACTTCGTGCCCCTTGAACCTACCCTGAGGAGGAGCGGGGGGCTCTTGTGGTCTAGAGGTATGATGTTCGCCTCTCATCCTCTCTTAAACTTACCTTAGACTGACGAGGAGCCAAAGACATGGGCTATGATTGTCCTATCCTAGTTTCAGTAATTTTTGTACGGCATTTGCAACACAATTAGGGCATATCAGTGCCGAAGAATAGACGTATTACAAGAAAGTAACAAATGCAAACAAGAATGAGGAGAGGAGAGATAAGGATTATAGATTATGATTGTCTTGTTCCAGTTCTATCTCAAACTACGGACAGTTCTATTTTGGACTAAAACGGTCACTTAGATCTGTTAAACGTTTATGGAATGGCAGAGTTCGCAAGACCGAGTAAGAAAATCATATTTAAATCATATTTAAATCATATTTTAAAAAGTTTTCCCCTCTTCCACAAAAGTACTTCGCAGCATAAGTTCAGAAGAGCCTGCTTTATTGTCTGGCTTTTCTATTCTTTTAATGAGCTGCTGTGTTTTGGGTAATAAGAGGAAACTGTACAGCTGTAGGGTGGATGCCTCCCCAGCAATAAATGTTCTCTTGTTGGGACGTGTTTGTGTGTGTGTGTGTGCGTGTGTGTGTGTGTGT